CCTAAAATTCACGACACGAAAAGCTTCCGCGAACTCGCAATGTTAATCTGTGTAGCAGTTTTTCAAACGATAGAAGAAATCGATTTCCTGATAAGTGGAGAAAATCGATGCTCTCATTTATCGATAGGCTTTTAAAACATTGACAGGACTTTTCATTGTTGTTGAAGTTTCAAGGACCAAAATGAAGGGTGTTTTTTTCCTCACATATCGCCTACACCGTATCATGCAAGTAAGATTTTGTAGAAAACTTCATAATCTCTATAAACATGTATGTCATTCCAAAGAATGGAATTATTACCTGTTTGAAAACTGCTTACTTGGAGGTAAACGAGAAGCGCCTACTTGTTGACATACTTAGCTAACGCATTTCACCACAGAGTTTCGAGTTCCATGTGGATGCAACTGCTACTTCATCATCTTAAATTTCCTTCTTCATTGAGATGATGAACGCTGGTCGAGTTTGAATTTTCTTGTAATAGCAAAATAACCAAAGGGTTTTAGGTTTTCATAACAGAGTGCTGGATGCTTTTATGATTCAAAGAGAATTTTCAGTGTTTTAACTCTCATTTACTGCCTATTCTTTTTTTATTGCTAGGTGCTATGTGGAATACAACCACAAGAATGCTAAGTTATGAACAAAACTCGAAGCTTCAGTTACGCTTCGACCCAGTGACTCCGCTTTCCAAAATTTCATGTGTTTTGTACTAAACCAACACAGGCTATTGCTCTTCATTCCTCTCAGCCAGTTCTCATTCAGCTGGTATTAGTAGCATGAGAGAATTTTGTTGCCTATCATATCTAACAGCTTGACATCACTTACCTTACAGTTCAGGTCCATTTAGTTCCCATTTCCTCCTCATCAATAACAATGCGGAAATATCTCCCCAGATTCGATTTTGTACTAAACCATTGTCTCATAAAATATTTTGATAAGCTAGCAGTGTGGCCTTGCTATGCCCATCTCAGTTTTTCTAATATCGTTCACTATTCGATCGACGTTCCGGTACAATATAATGTTAGCTAGTAATCAAATAACACCGTGACGGCAACGATGTTGTGACCATAGAGTTATACAACGTCATTTAGGGTGACTCACAACTTTTTTCATAGCTATGTGCTAATTGGTTTGACTAGTTTATTATAATTAACTATATTTTTGTCACTAACTGATGGGCAAGAAACTTTCATAGGTTTATATAAAGACGAAACTCGTACTCAACAAAAAACAAATTAGACAATGAACAAATCAGAAGACGCGACAGCAGTGGCTGTGAGTTCTATATCTACAAAGGTTTCAATAAAGGAAGCATTAACTTCTATGCGCATATATATATATATATATATATATATATATATATATATATATATAAGAGGGGTGTGGGTCGCAGGCCCACTGCAGCACACACATGAGGTTTATCCCAGCGTCACTGGCCCACCAAGGCTTCCATCCCTCTGGGATCGGCAAACTGGTGCCAAACTTATCTGGGAGGATACCAGCACTGGCTCGATACATCGGTAAGCCACCGCGAAGAAAGGCCAGATATGCATTCAATCACCTCTAGGCAATGGTTAATGAAGTCGAATACATGGCGCGTCCCTCAGGGATTGATCAAAACCGAGGGCTTTATCCTTTTAGCTTTTTTTAAATAGATATGTATATATGCATATACATGGATGTATGTGTATATGTTTCGCACTATTTGCTTTGTCTTTCTCTAGTGCTTCTATTAAATGAATAAAGAAGAGTAGAAATGAGAAAGCGAACCAACGGACCTACAACTATCCACTATCTGAATTCTGTTGCGATTACGACTTTTATTATACATACTGAAAAAAAATCAAAAGTACAAAATTATAACAGACTCCAATAGTAAAAGTGTCTGCAAAGAAGACTCTAACTGACTGATGGCTTTCAAAATTAAGTTCCTTTAGTCGAGGAGATTTTTGGTCATCTACAGAGGTTTTCGGTACCAGATAGTAAAAATGTTAATGAATTACGACATCCGGTATCAAGTGCTTATAAAATATTAATACACTTTTCGTTATTCAGTAAAGGTTTGAGCTTTATATTACCCGTTATGCCTCAATCATGTTTGTATTTTCATGTATTTTCATGAGCGATGTTATTTACGTGATAAAGTATTTGCTTCACTGAAAGATTGCACTTCAAGTTCCACTTATATTTTGCACTTTCGTTATTTATATCCAGTATATTATGTTTTCCTTTGAAAGCTGGTCGATTGAACGAAGGATTTGCTGCCGTCACAAGAATCATTGTGACCGTGGAAGAATCTGAGTCGTTAAGCAAAAAACCTCTTCCTGATCCGCAATGAATGACGAATTCTTTTGGCGAAGAGTTGAGAATGTTCTAAAAACTTTATCCTGAAGTTTTAGAAAAAGTCAAATCTCCATGTCAATGGGAAAAGAAGCTTACAGACCCTCAGGTTATACTCATATCCAAACGTGAGCCGAGCAATCGCTGCTAATGACGGTTGGACAACAAAGGAACGAGTGGAAAAAGTTCTGAGACACACACAAGCAGTATGTAAAAAATTGTTATCTAAGTAAATTCAGTATTCTTTAAACAACATAAGAAAATAACATGACAACAGACTCATCTATGGATGACTGAAGGAAGTGTGTAAATTTCCGCGAAACTGGATGCTTATCGTGAAAAGAGAACGCGTGCACTATTGATGTGTGCTAACGACTTTTCCAGTTGCTGCTTAAATTCGCTTGGGTTCAAAATCGATAACGATAATAACCTTAAAACAGTTTAATTGTTGGTTTCCAGCGTAAGAGTTATCGTTAAGCTACAGCTTAGTGGAATATATACTAAGTTGTCCAAATTATAGAACCGCCAGATAATACACCAATTCACCTTTGTAGGTATTAACATGACAAATGCTTTATGTGCAGTTGAATCCTAACGAAAGAACGTTTTTTTAGGGTAGTTACTATCACTACGGGCTTAGAGTTTTGTTCTTTCTTTGTCGAACAAAATAGCAGATTTTTGCTCCTAGCAAATATAACAGTGCTGCAATTGTCGTTGACGGTGGCTGAAATTACTCAACAGCAGACGAAAACAAAGATATAGAAGAATAGAACAGTACTGTATGAGACAGCAATAAACTGAATTCCGTAATACTGGAAGATTCCCAACAAAGGTCAAATCATAATACACAAAGAGATAGAAGGCACCTTGTGGAAAGAGAGCAACAAAAGAGAACAGCTAAGAATCGAAAATGAGGAGATCCACGTTGGCTAATGAACGGCTACCAGTAGGTGAATCACCTAAACTATTAATTTTTTTTCCACTTTCGGTCCTTACAAAGTACAACAAAGCGGTAAGTAGTATTATCTAAAAAATCGGCCGTTTAGTGAACAAGGCTTTTTTTGAGGTCGAAGGGTTTCAATAACAGATTGGGGAGCTAGGTCACCTAGCCTCATTGTGTCATTGTGTTTCAACTCATTTCGTCGTCTCTTGTTGGTCATTGCCTCGTCGTCCTACTTCGCCAACTGTTTCTTTCCTTTTCATTTAAACATTAGGCGAAATTTTATAAATTGGCAATGTACAGCTTGTTTCTGCTAGTGAGGTTCATCATTATTCAACATTCGAGGTTTAATTTTCGAATGTCGACACAGTTCAATGATGCTGAGATATTTGCAAAACTCCGGACCGCAGGTGTCTGTGGTGGAGAACGAACTCGTTATTGTCCTTTCCGGGGAGTAGCGCGTTCACCACCACACTATGACGGTTTTTCGTTTCGCCTGTTTCTCAGCTAGTTCTATCGATTTTTTGCCATCAGCAATCACCCGTCAGCGGGATTGATCTGGGGGACCCAAATCGGCAACGAACCCAGTTAAGTTGAGGCTGCAGTTATAATCACAATTATAACTTATTATTTACTGCCTACTCTTTTTAACGGCAGGGTATACATTGCGAAATATAACTTCACTATGAAACGCATACACCTGCTGTCCGGAGTTTTGCAAACATCTCAGCATCATTGAAGCTATATTTCGCAATGTATACCCTGCCATTAAAAAGTAGTACGATAGCGAACAATAGCAACGTCTCCAGAACGCGTTGCTCCAATCAAAAAATATTTTGGTCGTAGAGCATTTTTCTCCTTAATACTCCATTAGGATCGTTTTTAAATGAGGACATCTAATCTGAAATTTAACATTATTTCCCGAGGAGCTCAAAGGCCATACCTGTCTCACGTACGGCTTTTTTCGGGATGTTTTTCCTTACCGAAACAGCACGTTATAGAAAATTCATCTTTTTCTTAATGTTTCTCGACCCTTATATCCAATTGGAATGGCATACAAGATTCTACTTACTGTCAGTGTTTCTCATTTTCAAGGCAGAAATTTTACGTTTACTTTATTAAATGCCTTTATGAATATTTTGTTCATGGCAAAATGATTTTGATGAAATGATATTTTAACGATAACATTTCTACAAATTTGGCCATCAATGACATAAACGTTTGCTAGTGAAAACGGTAAGAGGAAAATTGTTAGTGTTGGTTGATGACGTTGATTAATGCCAGTTATGCAAGCATGATTGTATTCTTCCCGTTAGTTATGTAATTAGTAGTGTTGTCGTTAATCACATAATGATCAACCGTTTATTTGTGATAAGATACACCCAAAACAAGGGGTTATGAAAAACATCCGATCAGAACGATTGAAACTGTTATCAGGCCAACAAAACAAAGGAAAGAAAAGAAAAAGAAACTTAATGAAATGAAAAGTAAAGTAAAGTAAGGAGAAAAAAAGAGATGACAAAGACAAAATGATGATGAGATATGCACGTCGTGCGTTATTTGGTTGGTGACATTATGCTCATTAATATGGAATATGTTTTTTTAATATTAAACGATGGATATCATAAATGAAGAATTTTCGGAGATCAACAAATGAAGACAGAAAAATGTGTATATTAACTATTTTTCGAGTTTCGAACTGACATTACTTTATGATGATTATATTCATGAACGTGTGAATAAGCACTGTATCGGTGAAAAATAGCAGTTTCGTGGATAGGATTTTTTCTCAGATGATCGCCTTTCTCGTGGTTCAACACCGTTAAACGTTTTTGTTACTGTTGCCGTTGATGGTACAGCAGAAGCAGCAGCAGCTACAGCCCGAACTTGTCGTGACATTTCACGAACCAATTCACGTTCTGCTAGTTCTTGCTCTATGTTTCTGTAAATGTTGATTAAGCGCAAACATTTTGACAACTTCATTTTCTCAAAGTCCTATTTTTGTTTTTAATGTTACGCATTTTCTAGCCGCAGTTTTTTGATATGTGAGTGACTGCGAATTCCTTATGAAGAATTTTCTTATGTCATTTGTAAATTTTTGTTTTTTTTTAAATGAAGTATTTGATGTGGTAGATAAAAGCTTGAACAACAAGCGCTTAACGATGAAACTACGGTTGCGTTTTCAAAGAAAGAGTTTCAGTTATCTAAAGGCACTGAGATAATGTAAAGCAACTTTAGTCTAGGAGAATGTTATTAAATTATAGTGATGTAACCACAATGATCCTGAGATATTTGCAAAACTCTGGACCGCAGGTGTCTGCGGTGGAGTACAAACGCGCTATTATCCTTTCAGCTTAATTAGGTTCATTGTCGATTTGGGCTCACCAGATCAGTCTCGTTGACGGGTGATTGCCAATGGCACTGATAGATAGAAAACTAGCTGAGATGCAGGCGAAACGAAGGATCCGCATTGTGTGGTGGTGAACACATTAGCCCCCGGAAAAGGTAAGAACGCGTTCGATCTCCACCGTAGGCACCTGCGATTCGGAGTCGGAGTTTCGCAGATATCTCAGCATCATTGTGGTTGTGTCACATATAATACGCCATGAAAAACTATAATAGGCAGAAAATAAAAAAAAGTTAATATAGTGACCCAGATGGTTGGTTGCTCAAAAAATGAAATAGTGATTAGTTATAGACTTTTCTGTAATCCAACTGTTACAGTCAGTTTGTTCTTGTTCTTTGAACGATACGTGCATTTCATTGCTCACGAGAGGTTTCAGTCAAGCATAGAATTTTCAAGATCCTGATAAATAATTGTGTTAATGGATTTGCATGGAAACGTCGATGTGAGTAGAATTTCTGCTAGACAGAAAGAAAAAAGAACTGGTCTTTTTTTTTTCTTCCGTTCAACGTGCAGGTTGGATCGACCATAGAAAATGTTTAAGGAGAAGATAGACTTTCGTCAGCAGAAACAAAAATCGAAACCTTATTAAGAATATAAACGAACTATATCGCCTCTGCTAGAACAGCACTGGCAAGATTTCATAAACGGCCTCATGCCAGGTGATTAGATAACTGGTTATGTCGTTAGGATTTGTGTGATACTTTTCTTTATTAACAGTCGAAATTAATAATACGATTAAAAAGTAAAAATTAGCTTGAAGTAAGACGAAAAAGGGTCCAGTTAGAAGATTTTAGTGCGTTTCTCTTTTTCTTTATCCACATTTAGAAGTGTGAGAAGCTTGTTTCTGCGATGAGTTCCACATGGAACGATTCTGTTGCCGGTCCCTACCGCACTTGTCAATGACGTACAGTGCGATATCGTCGAAGAGGACCCTTTTTTTTTGCTATACGGATCGACGAAAGTGTTGCTTGAGCTTTTGAGTCACTAAGTAAAGAAACGGTCCGGTTTCTGTGGGTGTTCAGGCCACCCACGCACTTTCCTTAGAGGACCACACATGGTAGCAGTGCAGCAGCGTCTTTGTTGACATAGTGATATGAGCTGAATCTCACTTACTAATGCCAATATTATCACATAAAACGAGTATGATGAATTGATTATACACTAACAATCACTGTCTTAAAATTTTTTTCAAGAAAAAAGGTGTGTAGTCTTACAACATGTAGCATATTCTTATGTAATGATATCTATGGCGAAATAAAGGCTTTGAAAACAGGGAACAAAAGATTGAAAAAAGAGGTACGTCGTAATTTCTTAGTCTTATTTGTGCTTTATTCTTATAATCGATTTAGTCTTTTCATTTCTTTGGTTTCATCTTTATTGTTTTATTTATTTCCATACTTGGCTACCTTAACTACCATATGATTTTACATTGAACTTATACAACTTTTTGGTTTACCATTTAATATTCTTTTAGACATTTCGTGCTTGCAAGTGGAATCTCTGATGTTTTTATATTCGTGCGTAAAAGATATCGGTGTTTCTTTTCTCTACATTTCAAAACGCTGATATAAGGTTTTCCTTAATTGAAGTGATAAAACTCACTTCAAGAGAGCTTCGTAGACTAGTCTATCGTAGCTAATTTCGATAGAGAGTTGAACAAGTGTTAGCAACGTGACGAACAGCAACGTCAGCGATTTCATCATGTATATTTTCACCTAAAAAGAAGATTAAACAGCTAAAGAACATTGAAAGACAATAATGTTATTTTCAAAGCATAGGATGGCATTATCTTGAAGTTCTACAGAACTGAAAAAGTAGTTTTTGAAGTGTGCAGACGAAAAAGAAACAGACTGAAACGCAAGCGCAAAGAAGATCGCGATGAAAAAAATCGTGATTTTGTAAGAAAACCACAGAAAAAGGGATATTATTGGAATGGAGTGTTATCTTTTCCATATTCACGTAACGGAGCACATAAGTGCAATTTATTAACCAGACCAGAAGTAATTTTCGGCACCATGGACGATGAATGTTTTGATGTAGACTAACGCTGGTGTTCAAATTGGTCTTCAACGAAAATATGACCAATCGAGAATGCAGATCAAACATTTGTGTTAGGAAGCAATGTATTTGAATAAGTTATGTAGCGTTCAAGTAGATATTTATTATGACGAAACGATGATGAAGATGATGAAGACGAAGATAGGTGACGACGAAGATGACGATGAAGATGATGACGATGAAGTTGACAATGAAGATGACGATGAAAATGATGACGATGATGATTGCTGGTGATGATGATGATGATGATGATGATGATGATGATGATGATGATGATGATGTTGATGATGATGATGATGATG